GTGTTGTGCTTTGCTGGACCCAGTTCCTCCTGCCTGAGCCCCTGAGGCCTCTCCTGTGAGTCAGGGGGTCGCGGGACCCCACGTCTGTCTTAGGGCTCTTTGAGAGCATTGTCTATTTGTGTTTGCCTACATCTTTTTTTTTTTTTCCAGGCTTAATGGAAACCAAATCATAGCCGGGAAGGGGGTGGCGATGAAAGGGCCGTCCGCGAAGTTTGTTGCCCCTTGAAAGTATATAACGTTATTGCTGATGACATCTGAACTCGGGATTTGAAATCTCTCCGTTCTGTGTTTTGACACATTGATGTTTGAAGGAACCCAGCAGGGTTTTGACTTTCCCTGCATAATTACTGCCAGATTCAGCCCCCTTCCACCTCCCTGCCCCTGGGACACTGCTGCGTGCTCCGTAGAAAGCCTGGGGAACCTGCTGGAGGAGGCAGCTGGGCTGCGGGACGGCCCTGCACGGGATGGCCTGGGGGAGCAGCGTGTGCGCGCGTGCACAGGCAAGGGGTGCATGCACGGGCGTACGCGGGCAGTGAAGGGATGCTGCGGCTGCAGCCATGGCCGAAGGATGAATGAGCCTGGAGAGGAACTTGCAGAGTAAAGTGCAATAGAGGCCAAGCGGAGACAAGACGCAGGGGTTTGAGCATGGCCAGGCCACTCTCCCAGGCAGTCGGGGCCCGGATGCAAGGTTTGCCGTGCAGTTGCAAGGTTTGCAACGTCTATTCTGGGGTGACAACTAGGGAGCAGACGTTTAAGCTTGGCAGACGTCAGCGTGGGGGCCTGAAGTGCCGGTTCATCTCTCCCCACTCACCAGCTTGCCCGGAGCACAGAGGTGGCACATCCTCGGACAGCAACGGGCTCTGGGTGTGAACCCCTAGCTCCCAACCTGACCTTGCTGCCTTGCTTCACACCCCACCACTCGCATCGTATGCACCTCGGCCCCTCGCTCACAGGCTCTGGAGCACACCGGGGCCAGCCTGGGTGTGTGCACTGAAGGGTAGCTCCTGGCAAGAGGAGCCACCAGTGCTGGCAAGGCCTCACTCTCAGCATCCCCACGGGACACGGCACCTCCTTTTCTCCAGCCTCCTTTCGGAGACGATTCACAAGGGCGAAGGTATCGGTCCCGAGAGGGAGAAGCGTCACGGCTGAGATCCATCCACTGGTCACTCCACACCCTTCCCCGGGTCACGGCAGGACAGGGCAGGACTAGGAGGGGCACGGGCAGGGAAGGCTAAGGCTTACAGAAACTGTGTCCAGTTTGGGGCGCCCGACTGCAGAAAGGATGTGGACAAGCTTGGAGAGTCCAGGGGAGGGCAAGAAGCACCGGGGCCTATTGCAGTGGCTGGAAGCCGACCTGGTCTCCCGAGTTGGGGGAGCGTCAGGCCTCCGTCCCCACTCGGTGGCAGCTCCTTTACAAACCACTGCACTGGGGCTGGCACTAGGAAGCCTGGCGCGACTACCTGCGCGGGCTGCTTCCAGTTGTGGGCGTGAGTCGGAGGTTACATCCATCCCCCCGCGGTCTTTCATCTCCCCTCAGCTCGTGAGTCATCTCAAGCCAACACGGGACCAGATTTCCCTGCACATTGTTCCTCTTCGCCTCCGGCTCCAGCTCAGCCTCGTGGCACTTGCGCAGAAATAGGTCTCTTATCAGCAGCGATTCCTCCGGCCTGTTATCTGGTGTGAACATGTGACGCTGCTGACTGAAAGCAGCCAGGAGCTAAGTGATGGCTTCCCCGGGTCCCCGGTACGCGCACACTCGACCTGAGCGCCTTGTCAGCACTCCCGTGAAGTTATTAATGGCTACGGGGGCCTCCACCTTAGAAGCCCCCAACGCGGGACAGGTGACTTCTGGGAGGCTCTGGTTACTGCTGCCCCAGGTCTGGATCCGACCTGGGCTCTGAATGAGGAACGGGGTGGCAGTCTGCCGGGGTCTGAGCACAGTTTTCCTTGCCCTCCTTGGTGTGATGCCCTGTTGCCAGCGCCGGCTGCAGCTGCTGTACGACGGATGGGCATTGCACGCTCCCAGACTGACATGCGCCGCAGTCAAGGCCTCATCGAGGAGCTATCAGAGACACTTGTGCATGCACGGAGGAATGCCATCCCCGTCCCTGCCACTCACAGGTGCTGGTGCCTGATAACACAAGTTGCTGTTGGGGGCTCCCACAGCCAGGATTAGCTATTGCTGGCTATTCATAGCGCTCGGCCTTCTTTGGGGCCGATGTGTCCCCGCGCGGCATGCACGAGGCCTGATCCAGAGCTGGCGCAAACTCCTGCAGCTCCGTCAAGTCAAGGGTTCGCGTGAGCTGCAGGTCTGGGCTCTATGATCGATGCTGCTGATCGCAAGCTGGAGGGAAGGGCTATTTATTCAGCAGGTTTTAATTAATAAGCTGGCTCTCCTGAGCCCCTGGTGAGCTCCGAGGAAACAGGGACTCGAGGGACTGGGAGGTAGGGCTCCTCTGTTCCTTTCCCAGGGCAGCCAGTTTGCCTCTGCCCCTCCGCTCTGCTGCAGGTGCCCGTGAGCTGCTGCTTTGCATTGCAAACGTCTTCATGGCATGTCCTGGCTAACCGTGTCCTGGCTGCCCTCTCACAGCTGGGGCTCATAAGGGGTAATAGACTTCTACTGCTGCCAGCACCATACTTTGGCACAACTTGGGTCCGTGTCAGCCTATGATTGCACTGTTGGAGTCTAATGAGTTTGGGTCTCTTGGGGTGAGAGTTAGCCCGGGCTCACCTCTGGGAGGAGCTCGTGGTGCCTAGAGAGATGCTGAGAGCAGCTCGACCCCATGTCCACAGCCCTTCGGGAACGCTCCAGGACAGCCAGCTGGGCTGCCAAGGCCAGGGCACCCTGTGTTTGCCATTAAGGAGGGAGCCCGTGGGAATTACCCCATAAACATTCCTCTGGGGCCTGTAATGTCGCATCTGGTGCCACGAGACCTGGCCTCCCAACAGCTGACATAACAGGTAAAAATCCCACCGTGCATCTTCCTTTTTTACTGGGGTCTGCGGGTGATGGAGCTTCTCAGCTGCGGCAGCAGATGGGCCCGCAGTCCCGGGGCTGTCTCGGGATGCCGCGGTCCGTGCCTTTGCTTCCTCCACAGACCCGTGACTGTTCCCCCCAAGGGATGTGCAGTCACGTGCCAGCGCCCTGCCAGGCCAGACAAGCCTTGGCTGGCGGTCATGTCCCCATAGGAGACAGTGCTGGTCCCAGGGCACATCCCGGTGCTGGGTGAGGAGCTGCTCCAGTCTGCACCCTTGGGCTCGGCCATCCCCAGTCTGTTACCGCCAGGCCTCCTTGCCTTCCAGGCGGTTCCTAGCAGGCCCCCCAAGATGGACTGTCCCCCGGCAGGGCTGAGTGCTAGGCCCCCTGCACCCTCATTTGCTGCGAGGGGGTGCAGCACGGAGGGACCAGACATGCAGTGACTGCTGCAAGACAGCTGCTTGCCCAGGAGTCTGGGGGCACAGCTCTGCACATGGTGAAATCCCCTGGCTCCAAGCCACCCGTGGGGTTGGGAGGCTGCAGCCAGCGCCTAGTAGATGGTCATTTATTGATAGGGGTTCATTCTGCTTCCCCCGAGGAAGAGTGCCGATCCTCACGGCTGGGGAGGGGAGCTTGCTCGCGGGAAGCAGGCCTGGCAGTCGTGATGGACAGAGCCTCTCTCCTTCTCCCTGGAGAATCCCCTTTCCCTCTTGGCAGAAACTGCAGCAGCAAATCTGTGTCCCCCTGCCCCCTCTGCAAGGACAAGTGGAGCAAGGGAGGAACAGCCTTGGGGTCCCTGCTAGACCCTAAGCATCTGCTGCATGCAAAACCCTGGCCCCCCGCAAACGCCCCTGCGATGGGGGTGCTGGGTCTGCCAGGGGCCTGCACTCAGCCCCAGCCCCGAGAGTGTGAATGGGAGGGCGAGGTGTGGGCGCACGGGGTGCCCAGTGGGATATGCCCTGATCCCGCAAAGACCAGCGCTGCATCCCCCTTGCCAGCGTTCAGGTCCTCAGGACCCTCAGCCGCGTGCAGGGAGCGCCTCCATGCTGGGCAGGGAACGTGGATGCTGCTCGCCTCTGGTGCACTCGAAGGGCACCTAGGACAGCCCCGGTGCCTGCGAGCATGCATGGAAAGGGCGGGATCACTGTTGGCTCGCTGGCCATGGCGTCTCTCCTGGAGGCTGGCGAGGAACGTAGCGGGCCGGCGCGGCGCGGGGCGGCTGTCGGACAGAACTGGAAAGCATCGTAATTGAATTAGATGTGCAGGCCGGGCCGACTGCCTGGAAGCGCTGGGCTGGGGAGGGGCTGGGGGCACTGGAGCATGGCTGCTGCGGCCCGGCAGGGCTGCCCAGAGGTGTCCTCCGCCCCCTCCCACCTTCTCTCATTTTTATGGCGAGGCCTTTGACCCCGGGCCCGCACGCCACGCAGCCTCGCAGGGGATACGGAGCGCAGTGCGAAGTCCCGCGGCCGCCTCCTGCCTCTCCTGCCCCTGGCATACACGCGCGGTGTCCTGCCGCCCGCCCGCCTCGCTCTCCCCTCGCCCGAGAACATATTACTGCAATAAATAATCCCTTCCCCGGTGTCAGAGCAACCGGCCCTGGGCTCTCCTGCTCCCCACCCGCACCACCGCCTCCAGGGAAGAAATGCAGAAGGAAAGCTTTGTCGCATTTGGGGGAACGGGGATACTTCCAGTGCCCCTATTAGCCCCACAGACCCCGGCTGTATTACCGTGTCCCTGTGAGCCTGCAGGCTGGGCCAGGTGGGCTGAAAGGCCTTTCCGGGGCAGTCCTGGAGAGCCCTGTTACTCAAGGAGTAACGGGAATAGTCAGGACCGAAATGGGGAGGTTCCTCAGTGGAGACGGTCAGCATGTCTGTAGCAATGGGCGCACCGAGTTCATGTTTCATTGTCCGCTGATTTATTGCCCCTTGAGTTAATTATTGACCTGAGCTTTGCCTTGGTCAATATTTACCTCCCCAGGTCAATAAATCTTGACGTTCACCTCAACAGAAGTCAATATCTGCTTAGTGTTTGTCTATTCCCTCTGCTGCTAATTTTGCTGAAAGCTTTCATTTGTTCTTCCGAAGCATGCCCCGCGCGGGTGAGACCTGGCACGGAGCCCGACGGCCTCTGCGTAGGCGCCGTGGGCGAGCGGGGTGAACTTCACCCGACGAGTTTGGACGTGACCTGGAGAGAGGAGGAGAAGGGAGATGGACAGGTGTGAGCCAGGGCCTGGCTTGTCCCGTGGAGCCGCATCGCCAGGTCGGTGCAGCGCCCGTGACAGTGCCTCGGAGCCGGGCTGGGCTCACACACGCATCTCGAATTTGGCTCCTGAAGGCGTTTGTGGAGCTGGTGGGGGGCAGGGAGGTAGCGGCGGAGCACGCACAACTGAGTGTCTGTCGATGTGCGGGGAGGGCGGTGGGTCTCGGGCCCTTCGGGCAATGGCAAGGCTTTGCAGGCAGCTGTCGGGCACTTGGGACCCCCTGGGCAGGGGGAGTCCGACCCGTATAAGGGGCCTGGAGAGCCGAGCAGGGAGGTTCCTGACTTGATGAGTGCCGTCTCCGTGGCAGGATGTTGGACCGGCATCAGCATCGGGCCCCTTCCCCATGCCAAGCCAGACAGGCGCAGGCACCGTGTCCACCCCCCCCCAGCCCCGGGCTGCGACGCCTCCACGCGCCTGCTGGAGTATCGGCTGCGACTGGGGCTGTGCGCCAGGCCACCCCATCCCCTTGGGGTCCTGCCTCCCAGTCCCTACCCCTTCCTCCTTCCACGAAACGGAGGGAGATGAATTGCTGACGCGTCCCCTCTCCTTTGGATTGCCCTATGACAGAGATTAATTGGAGCTGCTGTAGGAGGTTGAGGGGCTGGCCGGGAGCGGGGTGGAGGTGAGGAGCGTGCGTGCACCTGCGTGTGCCTGCGTGCACTGGCGGAGGTTAAAGCCCCATGGCCTGGGAACCTGCAGGCTCCAGACGCCCTGATCTCCTGCATGGGGAGCTCCGGGCTGGGCTCCCTTTGCAGCAGGCGGATCCAATGTCCTGGTCATGCTCACGGCGAGCTCACGGCAAGCACAATGCACGCTCCGCTGCGCCCGGGAGCAGCGATCCGCAGGTTCTGCCTTTTGCTCATTTAACTGGGAAACAAACAGCATCCCTAGCATTGTCCCGTTGCTCCGCCTGCCCGCAGGACCCCGCCGTAATCCCCAGCCCTTACACCCGGGGCCGGGTGGGACTCCGTCCCCGTACCTTGCTCCGGACTCCGACTTTTAATATTTTAATTGAGTTAATTGACCTGGAGTCGTCTGTTGAACTCTGCCTGACCTTTTAAATAACAGGTCAAGGATTTAGCTCTGCTGCGCTGACCTGTTCCCTTATCTGCTAGTGCTGCTCCTCTCTCAATTAGCTGCCAGCTCCCGGACTCAGCAGAGTTGGGACCTCCTTGCGGGCGTCGGTGGGTAACGGACGGCCGTGCCCGCGGTCCGGGCTCTGACATGGAGATGATGGGGCCTCCTTACACCGCCTGGCAGCACTGGGTGCAGGCAACTTTGCAGCCCGGGGCTGCTTTCTTCAGTCCTTCAGAAATCCCCGGGGATGACTGCTGGTTACACGTCTTGTCCTAGCACCCGGGGCACCAGTCTCTGCACAGACATAGAGACCGTGTGTGTGTGTGGCAGGGGCAGAAAGGGACAGGTGTCACTTGGCATTGCAGCCCTAGGAAGTATCATTGCCCTGTTTCACAGATGGGGAAACTGAGGCAAGGGGAAGGAAAGGCAAGGCTGCAATGCAATACAGCAGTCAGAGGGGTTGCGTAGATGCTCCAGGGTCACAGGCCCCATCACGGAGGTTCGGAGCAGGTGGGGGGTCCTTAACCCTCCCAGGGGTCAAAGATGACATTGAGGAGCGCAGTCACCCTAGAGAGTCCCCTGATGAGAGCGGGGCAGTCGGCAGTCAGGTCAGCGCGGTCACAAACCTGGGCTGGGAAGGGCCAAGGTGTCTCCCGAGGGGTTATGGGAGCAGCTGGCATGGCCGTGGCCCGGGCAGGGGGGTCTCAAGCCTCGGGTGAGAGCACGGACCCAACTGGCTGCAGCTACATGAGCCGGATCAGAAGGGCTCAGCCCATAAAACCATGTCTGCAGGCCCCAGTCGAGGCCGGCTTTACTCTCTGCCCTCAGAGGACCTGGCCAGCTGCCTTCTGCGCGCCAGCCGTGGGCCCTGGCCTCAGCGGCTCTGGGCAGCACTGGCTGGGCCATCTCAGTCCATGCTGGATGCCCAGCTGCCCTGTCCTAGCAGTCGGGGAAGGGCTGGCACTGGGGTGCTGAGGGCAGAGCTGTTCAGGAGTGGGGAGCCGAGCGACTGAGAAGGGGGCTGGAGGTGGCCACAGCCAACAAGGGGTCTGCCCCTTCCCCTGCCCCAAGGACGTCCTCACAGGGCCTGTTGGGCTGACGCTGCCAAGCCCGGGAGGGGCAAGAAGGGGGTTTCTAGCAGCCGGGGGAGGAGGAGGCAAAGTTGTCCCATCGCCGGGCACCGTGGCTGAGTCCAGGCTTAATTCTGGCCCTGGCTCTGGGTGCGAGCATCCCCAGCCCGGGGAAGGGGTTTCTGCCCCTGCCAAAGTGCTTGATCTGGGTAGGGCCAGCTTGACCACACGCGGAGTGGAGGCAAAGGCGCTGGGCGGTGCTGCTGATTCTTGCCACTGAGGGACCGGCAGGGACTTGCGCGGATGGAGAGTTTCATCACCCCCCTCCAAGGGGTCGGTAAGAAGCCAGCAAAGCGGGCGCTGCATGCGAGGCACCCACCCTCCTTCCAGCCTGCTCTCGGGACTGCTGCTGGGCACCACAGAGCCGCCTGCCCCTGGGCATGCAGGGCCGCCGTGCCACGTGGCTGCAGGAGCTGCCAGCTCCCAGTGTCCTTGGAGACCAGGCGTGATGCTTATAGCACCTAGGGGAGGGTGCTTGGGGGCAGGAGCTCCTGGAGTCATGGGACTGCACTGTCAACGGGGCTTTGGCTCGAAAGGCTCGTTGGCACCCACATAACTATCCGGATCCTCATCTCGAGCACAGCAGCTGCTTCGTCCTGTCCGTGCCCCATGTCTTTTCAGGGAGCCACCGGTCCCCCTTTTACCAAGCACAGAGGGTGCCTGGGAATACAGGTAAAGACCCGTGACGCCGTAAAACTCCATCGGATCCAAGTTCATCTCCGCGGAGCCGGGCCGGAGAGGAGCTCTGGGCGCTGTGCCCTGCTGCCGGAGCGCCGGGCGCTGCATTCCACGGGATCAATATCTGCCATTGTCGCGCTGAGGAATGCGAGCGCGTCGGAGTCTAAAATTAAAGCGCTGGGATTGAGGCATCTCGGGTTACCAGAAACAAGACTCCATTGTGCTCCTGCCGGGGCTCGGGCCTAGGACAGGGATGGGGCTGCGAGTGTTTAGAAACCGCCCAGCTGAGCGCGGGGGGGGGACAGCCAGCCTTTAATTACCACGTTTCCATGCACGGCTCTAATTGAAACCCTCCTGCTGAGCCGCTCCCGCCGCCCCAAGCACCCCGCAAGACGCACGGCTGAGCGGGGGCCGTTTGCAAGGAAGCCCCGAGCTGTCCGTGCTGGGGCGAACGCCCCGTGCATGGAGCGTTCTCCATGAGGCTTTACCGGCCGCCGCCGCTCCAAGCTGGCTCAGGGCGTTCAGCACGTTAATGCATCAGCTCAGGCTCGGGGCTGTCAGGGCCTGCACCCCAAGAGGGGGAAGCTGAGGCACAGGCCTTGTGACTCTCCAGAGGCCATTTGGGAATCCCAGAGCAGAGCCAGGCCGGGAGCCCCTTGCTGGAATTGCTATAAGTGAGCATCGATCATTGTCCTCTCTTGGCTTCACCTGCTCTCGAAAGCTCCAGGTGGCTGTGACCACACTGAAGTGCCGTGACTCAAAGTGCCTCGACCGCTTCGACCAGCTGCGGCATCAGCAGGCGCTATAAATACGTCAGCAGAGACCCACGGACAAGTGACACAACCGAGGTTGCGAGGCAGGATCAGTAGCAGAGTTTGCTCGCATGCAGTCATAGCAGGGCACGCTAAGCACTAGAGAACAGCGCTCCTCCATCCTGCTTGGTAGAGGCTGAGTCTTCCCTGCGTCCCGTCAGGCTGCCGGGCTGACACGAGCTGGTCCCTGCCTAGGTTTGACAGCACACCGTAATGAATGCTGATGCAAAAGAAAGCCCGCTGGCCCCTGCCGAGGTCCGGTTGGAGTCTAGGAGGAGCAAAGGAGGTCTGCTGACCCCTCCGGCCACTCCGGCCTGGCACCCCCCGCTTTGGGTCCTGCTCTGTCTGGAGCACGGTGCAGCCAGCACAGCCTTGCTGCCCATCCTGCTTCTTGCTTATTAAGCAGGACGGTGCCGTGGCACGTTCTCCTGTGGAAGGGGGCAGTCGTCGGCAAGGCTCCCAGCAAGAGCACTCACACCGAGCACTCGCAACGCGGGTACTTCGTCTGGCTGCCCACGTGGGAGCCAAGCTCTTCCTCTCCCAGCCATCCATGTCCATGGGCCTCAGTTTCCCTTCTGCAAAGTGAGGTGGTACCCACCCCTTCCCTGGCCCAGAGCTGAGCACCTCAGGTCCCCGAGCCGAGATCTCAGGGTCCTGCTGCAGCAAACCAGATGGCTGGTTACTATTTCCTCCTGTTCATGGGAGTGAGAAGGGCATTGAGGCAGCTTCTGCCTTTTGCACTGGTTTTAATTGCACAAAGACCTGGATCTCTTTAGCCATGTCCTGCAATGCAAATGGCCTGGCTCAGGGATCCCAGCGCGGCTGCTCTGTGCAACCCTCCGTCAGCAGGGCCTCAGGCTCCAGCCTCAGCCGGCTCCATGGGCAGGGCTTAAAAAAAAAAGCCTATTAGCGACACACATTTTAAGCACAACCAGATGTGGGAGATGAAGCTGTTAAACCCCTTTTGTGCTCTCCGCGGGGGCCGCGCGGGGTTCTTCGGCCCCATGCCCTTCCGTGCCTCATCTATTGGGGCTGCTGAAATGGGCTCTCGTTCATGCTGTGGTAGGGAGCGGCGTGGAGGGGGCGGGGGGATGCACAGGGCTGTCAGCTCCAGCAGAACCAGGTCCCAGGCCCCCTTCCTATCCCCACACGCATGGGTGTGCATGCGTGTGCACGCATTTGCATGTCTCATTTAAGGACCAGCGGGTGCAAATGTAGCTCAACAGCAAACGCCTGTCGGTGAAGGGCTTTGACGGTTCTGTCCTGTGCGGGGGAGCAGGTAGCCCAGCCCTGCGAAGGGCAAGGAAGCAGGGTGGGCGCAGGCCCCGCGGGCAGTCAATCACAGGCCCTTTGTAATTGTATGTAACATTAATAAATCAGACAAATGAAAATAGCTCCAGCCTTGTAGAGCGTAAATCACCCTTCTGTGGGGCCCGGCGCTTTGCCGGCGCGTGCAGAGGGATGGCTGTCGCAGGTGGCAAAGGCCTGGGTCTTGTTCTTTAGCAACAGGGACAGAATGAAGACCAACGCGCTCAGGGCGTTGCAGATCCAGGCCGGCTCATGGCAGGGCTCTCCTCCTGCAGCTGGTGCAGCTCTCCCTCCGTGCTGGACGACTCCTCCTGGAAGCGCTCACGCAGCAGCTCCTCCTGCGGGAACACGCGTGTCAGCCCCCGTTCAGCCCTGGGCTCCGGCATGGCATGACGTGGCATGGCGCGACCACCCTCCTGCCCCTGTACCCACAGCGTCTGTGCCTCTGTCTGACTCAGCTCCTCCAGCAGCACCTTCTGCTCCAGCTGCAGCATCTCCTCCAGCTGCTGTATGTGCTCCTCGTGGCTGCGCCTCTGCTCCTTCAGCTTGGCCTGATCCTGCCGCACCAGCTCCTGCTCCTGCACTGCCGCTTCTGGCAGGCCACACTGGGCTGGCAGTGGCGTAGGGGGTGCGTTATTGAACTTGCCACCCCTGGCATCATGTCCCATCCAGCCCCTGCCCCTTGGCATCGCTTCACGTGGTGCCTCTGCCTCGCGCACTTTCCATCCTCTTCTCCTTCTCCGCCAGGGCCTCGTCAGCGCGCAGGATGGCCTGGGCTGCCAGCTCCCTGGAGGCGAGGAAGTCCTGCAGGGCTGTGTTCGCCTGGGCAAGGAGCAACACACAGGGACAGGCTTTTTGCAGGGAGCGCCGGGTAAGGCAGGGGCCTTCCCCTCTGGATCCAGCCACTGCCCAGGTGCCCGCCCAGCTGCCCACATCACTCCAGGCAGGGGCATGAGGGCAGTGGATGCCCAGGACAGGGGCCCTGACACCCGGCTGGCCCCAGGTGCCCAGCCTGGGGGTGCGGGATCCCTGGGAAAGCCCTAGCAGACCGGACAGCCCAGCTGGGCCCTACCTTTACCCCACTATGCCCGGCACCTGTTGGTAGTGCTCTATTATCACCTGCCGGTCACCCAGGAAGCGCTGGTGGCCGCCAGGCACCGCGTAGGCACTGTCCCAGATGTGGGTATCCAGGTCCCGTGAGACCTCTGCGAGCACGGCCTGGCAGCGCTGCAAGGAAGCCTGTGCTATACGATGCTACGCTCTACGACGATGATTTCTCATCAAACAGGCGACAGAGGGCAGGGGAAATCTCTCCTAATTTACACAGCTACAAGAGCGCTTTGAAATTGCTGGACTAAAGGGTACGAGAAGAAGGGTGAAAGTGCCAACAGCATGCGTGCTTCCAGAGTGAGAAATCTCTCTCTGGCACAAACTACTGCCATGCCCAGCTTTCTTCTGGCGAGAGGATCCACGCCCGGGGAAGCTGGAGAGAAACAGACTGCTCTTTGTTGCCTGTTTGGTGAGAAATTATCACCGTATAGCTAAATACTGGACTTTGCTTTGGTTTGGGCTCATTGCACCTTGAAGACTTGTAGTGAATAACGCCTTTCTGTCATTTATCCAACCAGGGTCCTGTCAATCCCTTGGGCTAGTCCGGGATCCTAGGTTTTTATTTGCTAACACCTTCCTCATTCAGGAAGGGACCCACACTTTCCCTGACCCTCCTCTTGCTCCCAACACACCTGTCGAAGCCCTTCTTCTTCCCCTTTACGTCCCTTGTAGCTGCAACTCCAGTTGTACTTTGGCCTTCCTGACTTCGTCCCTGCACCCCCGAGCAGCGCCCTTATACTCCTCTTCAGTCGTCTGTGCCAGCTTCCCCTTCCTGTAAGCTTTCTTTTCATGTCTAACCTCATCAAAGAGTTCCCCGCTAAGCCCAGCTGGTCTTCTGCCACACTTGCTGGTCTTCCCGCGCATCGGGACGGTTTGTTCCTGCACGCTTACTACGGCTTCTTTAAAGTCCAGCCAGCTCTCCTGGACTCCTCTCCCCCGCAGACTGGCTTCCCAGGGAGTCCTGCCCACCGGTTCCCTGAGCAAGTCGCAGTCTGCTTTTCTGACTTCCAGGGTGCTTACTCTGTGGCTCTCCTTCCTCCCTTTCCTTGGGATCCTGAATGTTCGATTATCTTGTGGTCGCTGCTGCCCAAGCTGCCATCTACCGCTGCATTGCATCCCCCACCAACTCTTCCCTGTTTGTGAGCAGCAGCACTGGTGCCAGCTAGGGGCTCGCTTGGCCTCTCCTGCTCTGGAACTCTTCCCCCGCCTCCCGTGGCCTGCAGGGCCAAACCAAGCTGCCCACCCTGGGCCAAACCCTGGGCCATGTAGCTCCCTGAGCGGCCACAGGTGGGTCCTGCACAGGCTGGCTGTCTTGCCTCCGGTGCAGCATACTGCTGTGTGCTCATTGCTGCGGCCGGGCCCGTGCTGGTCTGCCCTTCTGGGTTATCATGGAGTAACCCCCTCCGGGATAGCCCCTGCCACCTTCCTGGGCTTGCCGTTGTCCTGGTAGTCAGCGTGGCCTGGAGGCTGGGGAGCCTTGGGAACATGGGTGTTACACAGGTGTATGTTTGTGACCAGTGGGTGTGTAAGATCACCTGCATGGGCAGTGGGGCGGGATGTGTCCTGAGCGTTGGCGTGTTTGCATGTGCACACGTGGGAGAGACCAGCCACCCCTGTGGCCAGCTCAAGGCAGCAGGGTGTGTGTGAAACCATGAGAGTCATGCTGCAGGCAGCTGGGAGGTATTTCTACATACATACGGTACGGATGTGTGCACAGGTTCATTCACCCCTTCCAGCAGCCTCACCCGCCTGGGCTCCAGGATTTGCTTTCGCTTTCCACCCAAGGGTGCTCTCCTGGCTCCAGCAGTGCCAGTGAGACAGTGAGGCAGACAGGGAGATGGAGGGACGCGTGGCACAGTAACAGGACAGCCAGCCCTGAGCCCACACATGCGCACTCTGGGAGCAGGTAGGAGCCAGGTGCCCACGCCTGCCCTGGCGCCTGGGTGTGCAAGTGGCTGTGAGCCAGCGGGGCCTGGTCCAGGTGTGGGAGACGCAGAGAAGGGGCTGAGTCTTGACCCCCAGGACACCCCCATGCTGCCCTAGGCTGACCCTGTGACCCAGAGCCCTCGGCCTGGTCCCCAAACCCCTGCACCCGCACCCCAGAGCCCGTCACTTCCCTCCTCATCCCAAAGACCCGGGTGGGTTTTTTTAAAGAAATGTTTCGTGATCCAAGCCACATCAGGAAAATCAAGTCCAAATCCATGAGTCAGTCCAGAAATATAAGCGTCCCTACAACTGGCAAACATCCTTTACCTCCACTAGGAGCTTCAGATGTTTCCAAAGTCTTTTGGCAGGCATCCTATGTGCAGGTTCAAGCCCAGAGGCTTGGGGTTCAGATGCCCCCAAGTGTTGCTTGCTCTCAGCCATATGGCTGCAGGAGCAAGCTAGGGAGGAGCCTCCCATTTCAATAAAGTGGGCATAAAGCCCCAAAACCTCAGCGGGTACTAAACACACCAGAAGAACAGTTGTTACCGAGAGCACTTAAGATAAACTGCCTTCATGGACCCAGATTCATGGTATTTCCCCATCCGAGAGACCTGTGTCCAGCTTCACCCATCCTGCCGCAGGCCGCCCGCCCAACAGCGATGGCATCGGAGACCTCCATGCCAGCCCCGATCTGCCTGATTGAGAACGACCCCACAGACGGGCTGCTGGTGAACCAGGAGGCGCTGGCGCAGCTGCAGGCTGGGAGCCAGCTTGTGATGGTGGTGGCCATCGCTGGGCTCTACCGCACCGGCAAGTCCTGTCTCATGAACTGACTGGCTGGCAGGAGAACGGGTGAGTGCCCGGACACCTGGGTTCACACCCAGCCTGGGGAGGGGAGTGGGGCTGGGGGGTTGCAGCAGGGTGGGGCTGGGAACCCCGACGCCTGGGTCCTGTTGCTGTCGACAGCCCTGGAGCCGCTCTCCCCGCAGGCTTCTCCACCACCCAGTCGCACACCAAGGGCATCTGGATGTGGCGCTTGCCCCACCCGCGCCGGCCCCACCACACGCTGGTGCTGCTGGACACCGAGGGGCTGGGTGACGTGGCGAAGGTGAGCAAGGTGCAGCCCTGGGGGCTGCTAGGAACATGGTCTGGGGTCTGGCAAGGCTGCTGGGAGGGGGCAGCTGCGAACCGCACAGGGTCCGGGGTGTCACCTGGGGTCTCCCTCCCCTGGGTGGAGGCACACTGGGCTCCAAGCGCTGGGGATTGATGGTGCAGGTCAAGCAGATGAGACGGGAAGCTGGAGCTGGCTGCGCCTCTGTGGCCCAAAGCCCTGGACCGAGGATATCTGGGTCCTGGCCTGGAGAGCTAGTCCCTTTGCCCCTCCGGTGCCTCAGTTTCCCCCAGCCTGGGTCAGATGGGGCTTGTGCGTGGGTCCTGCAGGGCAACACCAAGAACGACTCGTGGATCTTGCGCTGGCTGTGCTGCTCTCCAGCACCCTGGTGTACAACAGCCTGCGCACGATCGACCAGCGCGCCATGGACCAGCGCAGTATCCTCGGCCCTGGGGCTGGGTAACAACCCACTGCTGCGCCCAGCTGCGGGGATGTGGCGGGTCCATGGGCCGCGGGGCCTGTCCCCGTCTCAGGGGCACTGTCATCCACGTTTCCTGAGCCAGCCCCAGCCACGTGACGGAGGTGACGCAGCACATCCAGGCCAAGGCAATGCCCGGGGCCAGCCCGCTGGTGGGAGAGAACGGGGCCGAGTACGGCCCCAGAAAGCAGAGGGACTTGCGGAGACATTATGAGCCTGGGCAAGGCTGGACGCATGAGGCCCAGGAGACATGGGAAGGAACCTGACCCCGTGGAGTCCCCCTGCCCCGCAAAGCAGTGCAAGGACGAAGCAGACTCCCCCAGCATAGCTCTGCCATGTGGCCGTGCCAGTCGCGGGCTGAAGGGGTGTCTCTGGGACGTCTCTGCTATGTCCAGTGCCCATAAGGGGAGGACAGAGGCCCCAGTACCAGGCCCACGTCTGTCCTGGAGTGGGTCTGGGGAGCTACCGCTGAGCCGTGCCGCCCGCAGTGCTGGGGGACGTGGTGGTGACCTACGTGGACGCCATGCACAGCGGGGCGGTGCCCTGCCCCGAGAGCGCCTGCTGGCTCTGGCGCAGGTGGAGAACGCGGCGGCGGTGGAGGATGCTGTGGCCCGGTACCAGGCGGTGCTGGGGCCGGAGGTGGCACTGCCCACAGAGACGCTGGCGGAGCTGTTGGCGCTGCACCCTGCGGCGTTCATGGCACGCGCCTTCAAGGACGACATGCGCCAGTTCCAGGGGAAGCTCATGGCAAGTCCCGTGGCCCTGGGGGCATTGCTGCTCTGGCCCAGCCCCACTGCTGGGACATGCCTCTCATGCCCATCCCGCACGTCCTTCTCCCCACAGCGCCGGCTGGAGCAGCAGAAGGAGGAGCTCTGCCAGCGTAACGAGCGGGCATCCCTGCAGCGCTGCCAGGCCGTGCTCGCAGAGGTCTCACACGACCTGGATGCCCACATCTGCAATGGGGCCTATGCTGTGCCCGGCGGCTACCAGTGCTTCCTGGGCGACCAGGGGGAGATGCTTGAGCGCTACCGGCAGGTGCCGGGCAAGGGGATAAAGGTAGGGCCCAGCTGGGCTGTCCAGTCTGCTAGGGCCTTCCCGGGGATCCTGCACCCCCAGGCTGGGCACCTGGGGGCAGCCGGGTGTCAGGATCCCTGTCCTGGGCACCCCCTGCCTTCATGCCCCTGCCTGAAGTGACGTGGGCAGCTGGGCGGGCGCCTGGGCAGTGGCTGGATCCAGAAGGGCAGGCCCCTGCCCTACTCGGCGCTCCCTGGAAAACGCCTGTCCCTCTTGCCTTTTGCCCAGGCTGGCAAGGCCCTGGTGGACTTCCTCGCCTCCAAGGAGCCAGCGGCCAAGGTCATCTTGCGCACTGACGAGGCCCTGGCAGAGAAGGAGAAGGAGGTGGAAGGTGCGCGGGGCAGGGGTACTGCGTGAAGTGATGCCAGGGGCAGAGGCTGGATGGGACGTGATTCCAGGGGCGGAGGGTGCAATAATGCACCCCCTACGCCACCCCCAGCCCAACATGCCAGGGCGGAGGCCGCAGCACGGGAGCAGGGAGCTGTTGTGGCAGGAGAAGGCCGAGCTGCAGCAGAAGCCGGAGGAGCAGAGGCGCAGCCACGAGGAGCACGTGCGGCAACTGATGGACAACCTGGAAAAGGAGCGGGAGGCGCAGCTGGAGGAGCTGAACTGGACAGTGGTGCAGAAGCTGTGGGAACGAGGGCAGGAGGGTGGTCGCGCTGCACCGTGCAAGGCCGAATGGGGGCTGACATGCATGTCCCCGCAGGAGCAGGAGGTGCTGCTGCGCGAGCGCTTCCAGGAGGAGTCGTCCGGCATGGAGGGAGCGCTGCACCAGCTGCAGGAGGAGAGCCCTGCCAGGAGCCGGCCTTCTGGGGTCAGCACCGTGCTGGGCCGGCTGGGCGAGCTGTTGTCCCACACGCTCGGGGGCGTCATGGACAAGGGCGTGGGCTTGGGCACCCGGCTCCTCGAGCGGTTCTGAGGGCAGCAAGGAGCCGCACCGCCTGGGGTGGGGGCTGCTTTGTTCCTGCTGCCACCGTGAGGGCCGGGGCAGGGAGGGGGCAGGATGCTGCGCTAAATGGGGCTGGCAGCCTGGACCCCAGGCTTGTACCCAGCTGCAGGAGGGGAGTCAGGATCAGGACTGGGGGATAAGTGCAGGGGAGGCGGGGGAGGCGAGGGTTTGCCCCAAGCCAGGTCTTAGCCCCCTGCTCTGTACCCATGGCCGAACACACGGCAGCCTTCCCCTGGCAGGTCATCCTGGGGCGTGTGGGTGGTGGGTGCTGAGCTTTGGTGCCGGCTGTGATAACAACTCTACAAATAAAGTGTTTTGTGAATCCTGCCGGTCCCACATGATGCTGAGTGCCCGCCAGGAACAGCTGAGGAACGAGATGCCCAGCGCCCCGTCTGCCCGCAGGCCGAGGGCCGGTTGCGAAGGGTCCCTGTGCCAGCACAGCGGGCGCACTCATGCACAGGGAGTGCACACAATCGGCTGCTTTGCAGGAAGGGCGGCAGCGTGGCCCCCACCTCCCCACGCCGGCTCCCAGCTGCCTTGGCCCCCTCCCAGCCCGCAGGGGCCACTGCCACGGCTCTGGGGGTTGGGCGCGAGCCCAGGTGTGGAGGTCCCAGAGCCTGGCTCTACCCCCTAGACCCCGCTCCCGTTCCAGGGTTTGGGGGAGAAGCCAGGTGTCCTGGCTCCCCGCGCTGGAGCACTCCTTGGCGGCCATGTAACCTGTAGCTGGCTCAGACTAGTGCACCCTCCCTCTCACTCCCCGCCATGCCTTTCACGTGCTGGTTTGGTTGGAAGGGAGGCTGCTCTACATGTCCTCGAGTGAGCCCAATTCCTTGAACAGGCAGCAGGTCCCTCCTGGGCTCCTCTGGTCCCAATCGGCCCTTGCTGAGCGGCCCCCTCGGTCCATCAGACGTGTATGCCTCAAGGCGTACTTCTGCGTGTGCGTGCGTGTGTACATACCGTATTCAGGTTCATCACCCCTTCCAGCAGCCTCACCCACCTGGGCGCCGGTATTTGCTTTTGCTTTCCACCCAAGGGTGCTCTCCTGGCTCCAGCAGTGCCAGTGAGGCAGTGGGGCAGACAGGGAGACACGGGGATGTGTGGCACAGTAACAGGACAGCCAGCCCTGAGCCCACACGTGTGCACCCCGGGAGCAGGTAAGAGACCCGGCTCCGGCGAGAGACACATGGGCAGAAGCCCCTTGCACCCCCGTGAACCCAGGGACCCCCAGGTCCCCCAAAGTGGACCCCAAGACCCCTGGCAAGACCCGGCCTACCCGGAGGTAAGCAGGGGCCCGTGGTAGGAGGGACGTAGCCCAGCTGCAGGGCAGCTGAGTGGAGCCAAGGAGGGTTACTTCCACCCCCCACCCCACTCCGGCTCCTACTTCACCCAGGCCCCCAGGAAGCCTTGCAAACAGGATGAACGAACAGGCGCGCTTCTGGGACCGGCGTGGGAGTTTAGCGCGGGAGGGTGAGCAGGAGGGCCCGAGGCCCTGCCAGCGAGCCCTAGAGTAGGGAAGGGATCCCATCAGTAGCCAGACTCTGGGCTGCAGGGGCTGCCTGGCACGTTTCCAGGCACACAGTACTTGGAGCATGGCCACCTCCTCTTGCGAGGTCTGCTCCACTCTGGAGTCTGCGGCGCCAGATAGAGGAGATCCAGAGACTGCGCGCCACCAGGGATGGCGAGCGGGAGATAGACTCCTACTGCCAGGCCCGTCAGCCCCTGGAGGCGGAGGGTAGACCAAGTCACCTTCCAGGACAAGGGAGGACTCGAGGATCTCCCACACCGTCCGGCCAGTGGGTTGGACCAAGGTGGTCAACGGCCCCAGGCTCGGTGCACCAGGCTCCCCGCCCCTCTGGAGCTCTGCACAAACCCCTTGCAGCCCCAGCAGAGCCTGCAGAGCTGCCAGCTCCCGCAGGCAAGGGAGGCTCACCCACAGCTACCGCCCCTGCTCTCCCTAAGGCCGCTCGCCGAGTGCTCGTCCTGGAAGACTCCCTCTGGAGGGGGACCAAGGGCGCGATCAGCCGCCCCAACCCCTTAGCCCAGGAGGTCTGCTGCTTCCCGGGATCCCGTATCCGGGATGTAGCCGCGAGGATCCCAAAACTCATCTGGCCCACCGACCACTACCCTATGCTCCCTGGAGGGAAAGATCGGAGCAGGGCTGCGGTGTGTCCCGGGGCTGCCATCCTCCTGTGCGCAGACACCCCTTTTGCACCCCGGCGGCTCCTGCTCTCACCTCCTGGAACGAACCTGCTGGACGTGCTTCCACTTCCCCGCCTGCGTCCGCCTCCCCTGCAGCCCCGAACCCCGTCTGCCACCGAAACCTGCATGAGAAAGCGAGGCCTAGGCACCTTCTCTGGGCCTTGGGAGCCAGGCAGAGTTTCTAGTCTGTGCTGAACCTTTCCCGAGCGTTGCTCATCTTGACCTGAGACCTTGTTTCCCTGGTCTGATGTTGTACACGCCTGGACCCGATGGGCAGGTTTCTCCTGCTGCTGATTCCTTGGCTTTGTTTTCTCCCTCGTCTAGTTGCACTTTCCTTCCCCCCCTTTTTCTTCCAGTTCAGAGTTGTTGCAAATCATCAGCCGCGATCGGATGCCGCCAGCTGTTGTCAGCAAGCCTGCCTCGGTTCAGCTCACAAGATCAGGATCCCAAACCCTAAAACATACACACAGCAGATGCACAGTAGATACAACAGAGGCATTATTTTATGTAGCTTTACTGGGCTTTCTTTTTTTTTTTTAGGGGAGAGTAAAGTATTCAGCGAGAGGGAGACTGGTCATGCTAAACCGATCATGCTAATTGCTCCAGAAGGACAGGGCATGTTCCAGCAGAGATAATCCTCTCTGCCTTCTGGTTTTGTTCTTGTGCAGTGGGCTCTGCGTGGTGTTCCCGGGGATCAGTGGAGCTGAAGCACTGTGAAGACAGCCTAGCCTGTACCCCACTGCTGGCTTCTCCATGGGAAATATAGCACAGAAGCTGATTTCAAACCAAGTCCTGGCTGCTGCTTGGTCCCCATGTACTAGGCAGGCTCCCAGATACGGGGATGATGGGAGCAAAGCCCTCCGGACACACCAGGGCTGGATTAGATTCAGGCTCTGCAACAACACGGAGGGCTGCTGGAGGCTAGAGAGTGGCTCCCTTTCCAGCCCTTTACTTTCACTGGGGTCGGGAAGAAAGCCAGGGCTGATGAGTGCGACTGAAATCGCAGCATTTGTGGGCATAATGCCTGGTCCACACACAGGTCTCAACACAGCGCGTGAAGGATACAGGTATCCTCGTCCCTATTGCGTGGCCAGGGAAACCGAGTCTAGGAAAGACACGATTTGTCCATGGCCACACAGTAGCCAGGCTTGGACCAGAACACAGCCCTCCTCCCCACGAGAGCCATCCTTCCCTTTGTGACCGAGTTTCCCACGGGTCCAACACAGCTCCTCCATGCCCGGCTATTAGACACTTCAAGATCTTGGCGAAGCCATCCCATAGATTCACAGTCCCAGCCATGTTTTAAACACTGTACAATGGGAATTAAAGCCGGGCCCCAGATGTATCCCTCGGGAATGAGGACACTGAACAATTAGAGGCCTCTTCAATGACCGTTTCTCACTTGGCTTTTAATCATTTTTGTCCAGTGCGCAGAGCTGCTTTCAGCACGGCTGCTTGCTGCCTGCAGACGTGTAAGCGGAGCTGGCAACGCGTCACCCCTTCGTGAACCAAAGGGCCGGGAGAAAAATGTAGGCATCACATGTCAGAAATCCTCGGGCCCAGGATTATCATATTTTGTTGTTAAATCCTAATGTGACGTGTGGAATGTCAGCTTCCCCGTGGGATCAGGCGAAAGCCCTGTGTGCCCGAGGAGGAGGTGTCAGCATAGATTTCTGCTGATGGTTTCTATCGTTGATCAAACAAGAGAAGAATTCACCAGCGTGCCCGTCTGATGAGCGGTCTGTTTTTAAAGGAACCAGGGGGAGCGATTAGTGACAACGGACCGGGCAGCCCTGTACTCACCGTGGTGCTTTTTCTTGCCTAACGAGCTGAGCCTGAGCCTTTCGAGCAGGTCTTGCCTTCCAGGTGAATCAAACGCAGCGCACAGCTAGTGAAAACCAGCGCCGTCATGCACAGAAGCCTGCATGGCCTAGGTTGTGCTGATCCGTGTATGGGCTTGGGGCTGGCTGGGGACCCTCAGCCAAAGGCCAGGGGCTGCTGAGCTGGGCACTGCGTGGCGAGAGACAGCCGCTGCCCCAAACAGCTGCCCTCTGAACAGGCAGGGCAGATACAGAAGTGCTATCCCCCCCGTGCAACTGGGGATCTACAGCGCAGTGAGAGTAAATGACTTGCGTGACCATGACAAGCCGCTCCACAGCCTCAGTTTCCCCAACCTAATGAGTTTCATAAGGTGACTCCAGGTCTTCAGGAGGAAAACCTGGTAGATGAGAGGAAAGCATTGCTCTGGAGATCTTGAGGCCTGGGCCAGACCGGGTATGCAGTGGCACTGGGCCATTAGCAGCATTCTGCATGGGGGTGGGAACAGCGCTCCACTTCCCCATGCTTGTGCCAGCCCCAGGCACGTCCAGGACCTCTGGATCCTCGCAACAATCCCAGTCTTCCCTCCCGATCTCTCTTCCGAGAGGTTTTCCTGCAGTGGCACCGTGTCTTCAGTGGATCTCTGCACGATCTGTGTCCAGACGGACCCAGCAGCAGCTGATCGGGGCGGCCTTCTGTTTTCTAGCTCAGCAGGGAAGCCGCCTCATTTCATCTTGCTCCAGTTTAATAGGATGGGCTCTCTGCGTGGATATGAAAATCTCCTAGCACCTGGCACAGTGAGGGAGAAAGGCAGAGGGCGTGGGGAAGGGCTGTCGGCTGCCACCCGAAGAAGCTTCCTTGATTTAGGGGTGGAAGTGGCTCACTGGAACAGACGCCAGGCTCGCCAGGGGAGAGGGCTGTGGACAGGTTGGTGCCATATCACATGCACACCCTGTCTCCCACGCCATGGGGGGTAGAAGTAACTGGCTGCTGATGGAGTATTTGTCAGCCAGGGGGTCTTTGATGCCACGTGAATGATGTGCGGTTCGCTAGGACATGCCAGCTCTGCTTCCCTGCTCACCAGGTTG